GCGCCGCCCCCCGCTGCCCCGGGCGCGGGCCGGGCCGCGCTGCGGGCGGGCTCTGCACCGGGCAGCCCCTGCCCCGGCACCGGCGGCTCCAGGTGAGAAAGAAGCGTTTGTCTTACCCCCACCGCCGCCTTTTCTGGGTTTTGGTTGGGTTTTTTTTCTCCCTGGGACCCAGGTCAGGGTAGTCTGCAGAGGAGACTGAAGGCACAGTCATGATAAACTGTTTTCTCTAGATCAATTTTTTAAGTGTCTTCTCCAAACCATGTTTTTATTTGACTTTTGGCATCTCACAGTGGATTGCGATTCGAAGTGTATCAAAACTAATTTGTCTAACTTTTTTTTTTCCTTTTACTTTGCTTTTTCTTCTTTCTTCTGTAGCACACAATCTATAAACAACAGGGGTAGCTGGATGCCTAACACAAAGACAAATCTTCTTGCCCTCTACTTTATACTTTACAGCCTTTAGGCTGTGATGAAGGTAGCAAGGGAGACTAGTTCATATATTTGTATACATCTATATATGTCTAGGTAATAGCATCTTGAAATTTCTCCTTGCAAGCTGAAATTCTAGCACGTTCTATAAACGATGTGCTTGGTTTTACAACTAAGTCATGACACCAGGCACGCAGGGTCTGTCAAAAGTCTTCTGTAATCATGGTTCAGGCCTTTTACCAATAGTTGCAGGCAGGAAGCTGTTCAATGTACACCCACATGATGCGTGTCAGTGTGTTTCAGTCTTGGCTTGTCAAGCCCCCTTTCTGCTGTGTCTTCTAGATTCAAATGTGGAATTGTTAACATGCCTCAGGACTGATCTGCAGGTTCCCCTTCTCTTGCCCCTGAAGTTTGCAGGGCAACAGTTTGCAGCAAGACTGCGTTCAGATTTCTGTATGAAAATTTGACTGACACATAGAAATAATTCCTCTTAAAAACGTATTTAGAATAATTTCATGTCATATTTATGCCCTAATATCTTACAACAGTCGCATTGGGGATATATGGAGTAATTTCTTTGTATATGTCTAAATTATATTGGTGTTGGGGGAACTCTGTAACGGTTTTGCCTGCCTTGTGTGCAAAAGCCACAAAAGAATTTATTATTTTCGTTCAAGACTTCAATAGCTTTGTCACTCGGACCAACACTTGTGGAGAGCTGTGTTCTGTGCACGTGGGACAAGAGGTCACACTGTATGGATGGATTCAGTATCAAAGGTAAATGGAAACCAAGGTGGCAATGGAGATGCTTATTTGCCAGATGCAATGTATGTTCTAGGCCTGGATTCAAACACTTTTTTTATGCTTCAGGTTATCCTTTCATATCCTGCAGTAGTTACTTCTGAAGTGAGTAAAACAGTTGAGAACTGTGCCAGATCAGTACTTAAAAATTCAGAGTTTCATACAAATGTTAATTGATCCTCATTACAGCACTGTAAAGCACTTAAATATTATTACCCTTGTTGTATAGGAGAGAAAACAAGTAATAGCATATTTATAGTAATTCTAACAGCTATGAGCAAATAATTCTCTTATATACTGTCCTTGAATTTTAAGCAGATGATGTTTGTCTTTTCAACTACAGGATCTAATGATGCAATTATTTTAAAATACGCAAGCTTTGCTTATAAAAAGAAATACTAAGAAAAGGTAGTAAATAGAGGATGAAACATTAATTCCAATAGTTCGCTATAGGTGGTGTGATATAATCACTCCTAATAGAGTTGTACGTTTTGTAAATGTAGGGTGAAAAGCGTGTCTGCATACATCATGGACGATGCTCCAAAGTATTCTGATCCTGAGTATGTGCTTGTAAAATGGAAATAGGTCCTGTGGCTTTGATGAAATTAATTTGTATCAAAAGTCTTGTTTTGCATTTTACAGTTGAGAGGCTGGTTTTTATCCAGCATTGTTCTGCAGTGATGGTCTGCATGGATTTTTTTTTTTGTCAGTCCTGGGCATCTCATCTTTGAACAGTTGTGGGTGGAGTTCCAGGAAAGAGAGTTAGGACTATTGCAATGAGATTGTTGTGCTCTTGCTTTTAAAGACAGCCAGAGCGTGTTCCATTTGACAGCTTCTTGGTGGATTAAGTACAACGGTAGCTGTCTCTACTGCAGCTGAAGAGATCAAAATTTATGATTCTGGGTCTAGGAGTGTGGATTGTTCATATGAAACTTTTTATGGGACCAGTGTTGTTCTCCTTGTTTTGTGGTTGGATTTTTTTTTTTTGTATCCATGTGAACTTTAGTTTTATTGCTCATCTAAATGTGTTTGTCTGAACGATGTTTTCCAGCAGGAAACTGTGTGTGTTCAGAATCCCTGCTCTACATGGATTAATGTTCAAGTTAAAATCCTGCCTCTCCTGGTTATTTGCACATGGTTTGTCTGTCACTGGGCAAAATCTGAAACAAATTATTTGGATTAGATTCAGATGTGTGAAAAATATCTGTACATACATTACTTGGAAGTGCTTTGAGATTAGTCACAAGGTATAGAAAGTAGCTAGTTGCGATGTGCTTTGGCTTAAAAAGCAGAAGACTACTGAATTTTTGCAAAAACTGTTTTTTCTTTTGTGTTTTTCATGGATCAGACAAGGCCTGTTTCTGGTTTTGAGGGATTTCCAGGGACTGACCCAGATCATCATTCCACAGGATGAGGTAAGTGCTACCAAAGTACGAGTACTATTTTTATTTTTCCTTTGGTAGCTTGGGTTAAGCAGACATGGAGAGCAGAATGAAGTACTTTGTCAGACTGAGCGTTCTGACTCACAAGTGGATTTAAGCGTCATGAGAGCCCTGATCTGATACTGCAACAGAAAGATTAATGCTGTTTCCTCTGGCTTAGGAGGAGTGATCCCGGATTCAAGTGGGACATTAAGAAATGAGGCCCTTGAGCATGGTGCGTTTGTCCTGCTCTTTGAATTTCTGTGAGACATTGTCGTCATCTTGCAGGCACATTCCCATGTGAAGAAGCTCTTGTCTAATGCCCCAGTGGAGTCTGTTGTGCGAGTGACTGGAATTGTGTCCCCTCGGCCCCCTGGGCAGGAGAATCCGGTGAGGATGTTGAGGTCTCGCAGGGGTTTTATTCCTTGGGGAAAAGAGCTCTGGATAGTAGGATTATGCTGGGTTCTGTGTCATAGCTTTGCCATGGGTTCTGGGCATGCGACAGCCTATCTTCAGATAATGTGAGGTGAAATAACTGCTATGATATGTAGCTTAGGAGAACCTCAAAGCAAATTATACACCCACGAATTAAATTGTATTCCAGCCCTTTGAAAGGATAATGGCTAGCTTTTTCAGGCTTTCAAAGTGTGGTTGGGAATTTCTTTTTCTTGAAAATAAGTATTGTCATCACAAGTTCCACAGCATGTGATGACCTGTTTCTCACTCAGAATAGATTTTGCTGTTCTCATTGTATAGGAAACAGGTTGAATAATTTTGTAATGTTATGCATTCCTCAGCTCTCATTGTAATCAGCTGTAGGTTAATCTGTCAGGATTGTACATACCCCATCACTGACAAGTCTAAAAAGAGAACATGGATTTATGACCATAACTTTTTTTGCTTGACCACTTATAGATGTCAATAAAGAATGTAGGCTTCAAGCAATGCTTTTGTTTCTTCTAATCATTTATCATTTTCTTGGAAGGTTGTATATACTTTCCTCTGGTAAACAGGAGTTCCGTAGGATCAAATGAACTTTGATATGGCACAGTGCTAAGTGGGGGAAGCTGGCTGTTCTCCCTTGGGATCTAAGAAAAAGACAACTAGTTCTGAGAACTGGTGTTCAGAACTGGAAGTTCTGAGAAGTTCCTCAGAAGTTGCCTTTTTTGACTTGCATTAAGGACTGATGTTGATGCTGCTAATGCATGCTGAAATGTATACTGTGTGATTTCATTGAAGCTGATGGAACTAGTATTTTGTCCAAATGCATGTGCCCTAGAAGGGTCTGTGCCTGACTGTTCCTCTGTGCTCAGCATGTCCTTCAAGGAGAAGGCAAAGGAAAAGTAGTTCTATTTCTTGTAGAGATCCGTATGCTATTGGGAAAGAGCATGCTGTCTTTGGTGAGGTGACTTGTCTTTTTCTGAACAGAGGGGAGATCTAGGAGAAATCTGTCCTTGAGAGAAGTTCTCTGAGTTATACTGTGTTAGAAGGCAGGGAGGATAATCACATGGGTCACTTTTTTCCCCAACCATCTGTGAAAATTTTGAATCTAATTTTTTTCTTGCCTTTTTGCTCCAGAAAATGCCAACAGGAGATATTGAAGTGAAGGCGGAGACTGCCGAGATCCTAAACCCCTGCAAGAAGCTACCTTTTGAAATCAAGGATTTTATCAAGGTGTCTTTGGTGGTTTTTTTGTTTGGTGTTTTGTTTTTTTTTTTTTTTTTTACCAAAGTGGTGGCTTTTCAATAAATTGGAAATTTGCCCAGAGTGATGGCAAAACATCTGAGAGCTTCGTCTGGTTCTCCCAGCTCTGCTTTGGGGGAAGGATGGTATTTAAAATAGAGGCGCTGCTTGTTAGCTGTGAGGATGTATTTCTAATTAGAGCTAAGCAGAAAACAAGGCTTGAATGATTCCAGTGCACAGGGTTTTCTAATATCACTGTAAGAACCAGATGGTAAAGGGAAGAGTGAAAGAAATCAGGCTATGCTAGCTTTTTTGAGAGTGTGAAACAGAACCTGCCAATGCACTGCTGTGTTTTAAGGCAAGGGTGCTTAGTCTTATCTGGACAAGTAGCTAGTCAGCCAGAGGATTTTCTTCCTCTGTAAGTACACAGCCTTATAAGAGGTTAGTTTTAGTGCAGGCTCCATGGTGTAGGAGTCACATCACTGTTCACTGAAGATATTCTCTGTGCCATTCAAACTTTGACTGATACATGGGTGTTGGAATTGGGAGAACTGGGTCCTGTTTCTTCCATGTTATGGGTCCTGGACAAGTCCCGTCATCTGCACTGCTTTAGTTTTCCTGTCTGTAATAAGGATGTATCACCATTTAGTTGGTCCTGTAGATCTATGTATGATACCACTCCTCTGCTTAAAAATCACAAGGAGGATTGCTACAGTCTGTTGCAGTGGACTGAGAATAAGGAGGTCTGAAATCCTGAGCTTCATTGAGGCAGCTCTTATCACATAAATGTCTGTTTTGTTTTGTTTAAAGTAATTATCAAGCATGGAAACACTCTCAGTGGCTGATGTTCATCTGTGTAGGCTGTAGGTAATGGGTGGGTTGTGGCAATAGAGCAGCCTCCTTTTTTAGCTTCCCCCTTTTGTCTTGTGGCTTTAGGAGCAGCTTCATTGGACATGCAATTTGAATTTTGTCTCTTAATCCTAATTATCTCTTATCTCCAGAAATCAGAGGCCTTACGGATGCAGTATCGCTACTTGGACTTGCGTAGCTTCCAGTTGCAGTATAACCTGCGGCTGAGATCACAGATAGTGATGAGGATGCGGGAATATCTGTGTAACCTCCATGGTAAGAAAAGTGCTTGAAGAACAGTGTGCAGCAAACAACATTTTAGCCCTTCCTTCTTCTGTTTTCTATTGCTGAGAGAGATTGCTAATCAACTTGCTGCTCCAAACTGGTCCCACTTAGTAAGGACATGTCTGCTTGCAGTGGGGTATTTAGAGGGATGTTGGCAGGCCTGAAGAACAAAGTATGTTGAAATTCCTTAGCGTGGTACAAACCAGTTGTTTCAAATAAGCTATATCCAGTGAGAAGAGGCCTTTTGCAGGTAGTTTCCCTCTTTTGGTCACCCAACTTCAGGCATGTCAAAGAGATGGATTTCTTATAGGGCTTTTGCTTATCTTAAAATCAGGAAGTCCTTTTTGGAAAAGCAAAGCCTAGTTCAAAACAGAGAATTAACAATTCTTCAGCCTGTACGGAGTCCTCTGTCATCAAGAGTTTTGGCAGGACATCAGGGTAGCTCAGAGCCTTTAAATCTGTCATTACACAAGTTATTCTTGGAAGCAGCAAAATCTGTAGATTTTGGAGAGGCTACATGGTCTGCTAGATTACCTATTTTGCTGACTAACCCTGCTCTATCTTACTTTGTGTCATACTAGTTCTTCCTGCTCTTAGCATATTCTGTGTCTGAAGCATGTCTCTGTTCCTCAGGGTTTGTGGATGTAGAAACTCCAACGCTCTTTAAAAGAACCCCAGGGGTATGTATTCTGTTAGTAATGCATTTTAGCCTCCTGCAATTGCATAGGCAGTTCATGGTTGAATTATTGTCAATTGCCACTCGTCCTTCATTGCTGTTCCCTCACTAAGTAACAGCTCATGTGCAAATTTCTGATATGATACATGGATCTTTTAAAAAGTAGAGGGTGCGAAAGGGAAGAGGTGATATCTTGTGTCTTAATTTGGGATCTTCAAATGAATAAAGCTTCTGTCTTGTAGAGTGCATGTTGAATGCAAGTCCTGTCCTGGGACAGCCAGATTATAAAACCAAACAACTTCCTGTAAGCGCTGTTCCCCCAGCACATCTCTTAACTAGTAGGTTACTGCAATGGCACTACTCGAGTCATTTTAATTTCTGAATTTATATTTCTTTCTTTCATTTCAAAAATAATCACAGAGGACAGAGCTGTAGCCCAGGAACTATTGATGCAGCTAACACATGGACTTCTTGCATTTAAACACCTGTCTTGGATGGTGTATTGTTATGCATTAGTCTCTCAGAGCAGGAGATGGAGAATCCTCCTTTGGGATATTTTGGACCAAGTTCGTTAACAGATTTTTTTTTTTTTTTAAGTGTAATGTACAAACAGCCATTCCTTCACAGGCAGGATTTCATAACGGGGAAAATAGGTCCTGTCCTCTTGCTCTCCTAGTCTGTGCTCTCTGTCAGGAATGGAGGCCACTTGCTGAACTGTGTAAGCTTTTCTTTCTGATGCTAGGGAGCAAAAGAATTCCTTGTGCCCTCGAGGGAAGCAGGCAAGTTCTACTCTTTGCCGCAGAGTCCTCAGCAGTTCAAGCAGCTGCTCATGATTGGAGGCCTGGACAGGTAAGAGTTTCTTGGACTCCTCTGCATGTGCTGTCCAGGGTTTGCTTGCTTTGATCTGTGAGGTTTTAGATAGTTCCCCAAAAACTTACTGCCAAGGGTTTTGTGTTTTGAAGAGGGATCCTTAAATACTTAGGACTTTTCAGCTAGGCCAGGCCCTTCCCCCCCCGCCCCCCAGCAATAATGCCTCCCAGTAAGAGGAAATGTATCCTGTTTGAAGGCTGAAGTCTTCACTGTTGTTTTAAATGGAAACCTGATCTGAAGCAGTCTGCCTGAAGGGCAGAAAATCTAGTGTGTGATAAAAGCCCCTCTACAATAACCTATAGAACTAATTCAGATGAGGCTGGGCAGCTGAACAGGACTGAGACAAGGAAAGCATGTTCTCAGGGTGCATGAGTACAAAGCTTGTAACTGTGCTTGGTCCTCCAAATAAAATTGAAGGAGAGGGAGACAGTTCATGCAGTGAACTGCAGGCCAGGTCTTCATCATGAGTGAGTTTTGCGTGGTCATCAGTAGAGTCCAGGTTTGGAGTGGAAGGTGGGAAAATGGGTTGCATATGCCCCTGTTGGGACGCAGCTCACCTGGTAGCCTCCACATGCCTCTGGAGGTATGGTTGGAGATGGATACAGCTACCGATACAGTTGCTTCCACTCCCAAGTTTCATGCCTTTGAGGGGATGGGAATGACCAGGGCTATGATCATCTGCTGCAAAGGGAACAGACCTCTCTTCTCTCTTTTTTTTTTTTTTTTTTTTTTTTTATTGTTATTTTTTTTACCCCCATTTTTTTTTGGGGTATTTTAAATTT